AAAAATTGACCACCAAATTTGATCGCGACACAACCAGAATCTTCCGACATCACCTTCTCCCCTCCTCCTCCAAAAAATAATCACTAGTTGTGAACGAGGAGTGTTCCACCCATTTACCTCAACTTTTTAGCACAAGGTAAGCATGAGAAATTAATACGAAAGAAAAACTTATTTAATAGTACCATGCAGCAGACGGTAAAAAGAAAATAGTAATAATTAACATTTATTCCACGAGCGCGCGTTGGATATGAGATGATAGATAGCCATATTTGTAGATATGGTATCTTGGCTGATATACCATAATGGCTAAGCCAATAAAAAGTCTTGAATTGCATTATCCAATGATCTAGTTTTTAACAATAAAAGATATCATCCCGATTTTATCTTGTCGTGCTAGTGATCACGAGATCCCTATATGTTATTTTTCAGATAGGGAGCAAAGATCGCCAAAACAAGAGTGCACGTGATCCAAACAGCACAAGACAAAAACTACAAATGTCTCCTTGTCATCGAAGAAATAGCAGGCTGAAAATTAAAATCAACAGATGTTGGCATTAACAAGGGCATTATCCTAGACCGTTGAAATGTCAACGTTTGTAATTTCGACGGTCAAATTCTAAATGTCTTTCGCTCGTCTAAAAACTAGCCGCTACATGAAGCGAGATGTATTTTGACGATAAGTTTTATAGAAGCGTTCGTTGTTTTGGATTTTGCTAAAAAAAAACTTTCGTAATGTTTCCTGCCTTAGCGAAATGAATTCCCACTTTGTCTTCGATCGAAATATTTCCACAACAAAATAATTCATGTTCCGTTGTTGGGGGTCTTTTCCTTGCTACAGGATGTCTCTGGCTCTTTGGTTGTTTTGGTGGTTTGTCGTCTGTTCTAAGTCAGAATTCCCGCATTGATTTCAGTTCATAAACCATATAGATATCCCGGCTAGCTGGCAAGTATCGTTAATGTGCAACACTACAGAACCCGTACTATTCCATAAATGTGTTATTCATTAGAGCCCAGTCATGCCGGATGGCTAATCTATCTGTCAAGATATTCGACGACGAAGAGAACGCGTCAGCAAAATTTGTCAAAATTTGCTATTTTAGTCTCAGGCTATATCGCGTGATTATCGATGTCTTTCAACATATACGAACATCGTTCTCTCAGTCATGGACGTGAAAGGAAAAAGTCGCGTAATAAAAGCTATGTCTGTGTTGCGGTCAGATAACTTCCTCATTGAAGGAATTATATCACGTTCAATGAGGTCCCATCTTCTCTATGCATTTTCAAAACTATTTTTCATCGTCTCAGCGAAAGCAAAGCAAAAAATTATAACCATCGCGTACGCTTTCTGTTTCTTTTATCGTTTTTACCCATACGTTGTGCATGATAATCCTGTGTTTTTAGAAGAAGGTTTTTTTATGTTTCTTTTTTACCTATCGTCCATTATCCAACTATCTACCGTTTAAATCGCGCCCAATACCCCTGAAGGCTTCACGACTTCAACCTTACGAGGCCGAACATTTCCCATCTTTTCCTTTTAATCTAGAGAGCAACATGTCTAATGGTTGTTTTGAGACTGTTTTTAATAGCCTCAGACTATCTTCATTATCTGAACCAACACTGCCAATGGAGCAATCTGTTTTCAAACGTCTCCAGTTTGGAAAAGGCGTTTACGTTAAAAATTCAAATGTTTTCCGACGTTTTAGTGTCCAAACCAGGCAACAGAGAAGATAACAGCTGGTTCTGATCGGCTAGAAGATTTGAATCCCTCCAGGTAAACATAGTAGATTACATAAAATGCAATGAAATATCTTTAGATGTAATACATTGCATAAATAGCATAAATTGCTGTGTAGTTACTAAATGGCCCTACCACTGAGTCACTCGAGACGTATGATTTGGGAACATGTCTGGACTCCATATTGTAGCGCACATTGAAACGATTTAAAAAAAAAAAAGAAAAATGAAATCAAATGATGACGTAGGCAACTTGTGATGACGAGAATGATTGGCTGATTGGGAGACGTCTGTATGACTTTCCTCGGAACTAAGCGAATTCTGGGATGGGCGAACGAATCTAGTGTTAATTGGAAGGGAGCAATTCTTGGTGGACCGAAACAACTTCCGAGTGTGGACTGAATGAGTTTCGTGAACAAAAAGACTTCTGCTGGACTGGAAGCCTCTTGTTGACTGACCGAACTTTTTTAGACCGAAAGACTTTTGCAGACTTAACAATTTTTGTAGACTGGGCGACTTTGGTGTTTTCTAAAGGAAGACTTTCATTTGAATTTAACGACGTTTGTTAGAATAAACGATTTTGGGGATTGGAAAAAGGATCTAAATTGAACCACTATTATGAGGACTACACGACTTTCGCAGTGTGAATTTAACGAACCGTGTGGCCTGGGCTACTCTGGTTTTTATTTTTAATACCCCTTGTTTAATAGTCCACTCGAGCTAAATATCTGGACACCTGAGTTAAGGATCTTCCTTTTTCTTTTGAGTAGACAGGACGACTTTTATGAGGATGGATCGTTTTTCGCATCGAATGATCGATATTTCTGTGGCCTAGACAATGTTTGTGTGCTGAATCTTTTTGTAGGTGTAAAACTAAGATCGGTTTTTCAATTGCAAAATTAGCTTTAAAAAAGCGTCGATTCGCAAGTTCTGTCGTCTAGAAGTTGACACTGATAGTACCTTAACTATGGTACAGGTTCTCTTAACAGTAGTTTTTAACAAACAGAGCTACGCATGCGCAATGTGAACACGCTAGTAAACTCGTACTCGTACTCGTTCTCTTAACAGTAGTTTTTAACAAACAGAGCTACGCATGCGCAATGTGAACACGCTAGTAAACTCGTACTCGTACTCGTTCTCTTAACAGTAGTTTTTGTGATTATCCCACCTAAAACTCTTCAGCAAAGGTCGATAGGCCCCAAGAAGGATTGACCCTTGAATGGGAAAAGGGGTACATGGGGGTTGAAATGTATCCCATACATATGGCTTCGTCTGAACTGTTGTCTCTTAGTGTTTTCATAATCGATAAAATCGTTTTAAGACTTATGATAGAGTCTGGGAAAGTTTTTTCAGTTGCCCCAAATCTCATCAAAGGCGAGACTACAGGGCTCCCTTAAAAGTGGCTTAAGTCTCAGGTCTGATGCCATAGACAATAACTAACGGAAGTATATAGCTTAAGAAAACAACTTAATGGTTTATTTATCGAATATCATAGTTTTAGAACAATATTTAAACTCTTTCCTCAGTACATATATCTTGACATATATATTATTATGTGAATTGTTGGCATTCTATAGATCCACCTGAAAGCGGGTGCGAAAGTAAAAAAAAAAAACCCTCATTGAAGTTACACTCATGACTCACATTGTTCTTTATTATGAGCAATATACTTTAATCACTTATATAAATCTCAACTCTGCGAAAGACGTGCATAGATACTTCCTTAGGTCCGAAGGAACAAAGCATTAAAATCGAAGTGTTTTAATCTTGTTCACAATTGACACTGAAGATGCTTTGTGCTACTAAGCATAAGATCAGACTAGGTATAAGCTACGTAGAACCCACTAAGATTATCCGAAGTTTTGAACTTTACTAACTGGTGAGAAAAGAATAACTACTTCGTTCAAGTTTCAAAGTTTATGTGGCAGAGAATTGTGTTAAGTGTTTACAGGTTACTTAAACCAAAAGAAACCTGAACAGACATGCGGAAACCTACCACAGAGCTGATGTTTTGTAAAAATTATGTAAATGAAACATGCTGACAAAACAGGATATAGGGGCTGTTTGAATGGTTAAAATCAGAACTTCTTCTTTCTTGCCCAGCCAATAATACTTTCTCTATTTTCGTCAGTTCGAAAAAGAGCTTCTCTATACACAGTCATATGGCATAATACACATTTAAAATTCTACTGAAGCTTTATAAAGCTTAGTGGCAAATTTGATAAAACATTAGAACTTTTAGCACATCATAGTGGATTCTAATCGATTCCGGGACATCTCGTTTGAGACAGGTCCAGCGTTTGACATATAAGAGAAGTATTGTTCGTGGTTTGGGTAGAAATGAGCTTGTGGCGGCGAAGTAGGGCCAAAATTAGACGTTGGAAATCCATTCATTCCGTTATTAATAAATTTTTGATAGTTGGCCTGTCTATGAAAGTTAGCCATTTCTTGCATGTTGTGTTTGCTAGGCCAATTGGGGCCATTAAAGGTAAAGCTGTTGAACTGTTGTGCGGGTGCTTGTGTTATGGGGGGCGGCTTTGGCGATGGATCTTGGACATGCTGTGAAGTAGGTGGTGTGGGGCTCTTTCTTGGCTTTGCTACTGTTGGTTTAGGCTTGCTTGGGGCGCCTTGTTGTTGCTTGTTTTGCTGTCGAAACTTAGCCCTTCTGTTTTTAAACCATACCTGGGAAACAAAAGGATAGAATTAGCTATCCACAAGAAAATTATATAAAGAGGTTTAGAGTCATTCATAAAATATGGGAAGCGAGTTGACAGAATTTGGATTTACTTGGTAACTGAGCTACATGAATTTGCGATTACTTTGAGTTGGGACAGAAAATGCATATAATATGTACTGAATGAGATGATTTAAAACAAACGTAAATAGTTGAAATGCCAAATTCTTTGAAAGAAAAAAAAAAATGAGGCAGAAAAAGGTATATGACTCTATACAGTAAAAAGGACAAATAGGCACATCAGATTTTAATTGTTACAAGATTTCATGTATTCTACCTGTACGGGTAAAAGGAAGATAAAATTTAGCAAAATAAAAGCATGTAGCGTTTGGAACAAAAAGAAAAGAGTAAACTTCGCGTGAGTCTAAGGTGTGATAAGTGATACCAAGCACTTGAAAGGCCACCATATTCAAACAGAGCCCCTAAAACTCCGTGTTTCAGCTCACGCTAGCGAAAATCACGAACTTCACCTTTTGTAGTGCAGTATTTTAGACCATGCATTAAATCTAAGGCTTGAATTACTTCTGTTTAATCAATTTGTTTCATTTTGCTTTCTTTCATCACTGTTTCGCTGGTTTTTAGCTCAAAAACAAGTTTCGTGCCATTTTTCAACACGTGTTCAAAGTTCGCCATATCTGTCCCCGACGCGGGCGTTCTGTTTTAAGATAACAGCTCTTTGTAAACAAAAGAGTTAAATTCAGTAACGTTGATAAACAGAGTAATTTGTGGGTAATTAAGTACTTATAATCCGCTATCACCCAAGTAACGCCCCTTAAAAACAAAGTCAAGAAGATTTTGGGCATATCTATCATCCTTATAAAATGCTAATTGTCTCCGTATGCCACGCAATGGAAGAAAGACGTTACCAAAAATAGCTCGATATATTTGAGAGCGACGATTACAATGGCTGGGCGGCGACAGTCCTTAGGTGATTACAAAATACATCAGCAGAGAATTAAAAGCTCATTATATCTTTGTTCTAAGTAACGCAGATATCAGTTGGGCAACCGGTTATTCTAATGGAAATGTATTCAATTGTATGATGCGCGACAAACTCATTAGTGATTTTGTGAAAGTGGTGTTATGTCAACCTTGCCATGGCCAATAAAATCTAAACAACAAAAAATTCGGGAAGATTCAAGAAAAGGATGGAGTCTTTACACCTTCTTGGGCACAGCACACATTTTTTCAATGAAGAACAACCCCATAACAGGGGGCCAGGGTTCTCCCAGTTACAAGAATATACAAAAAATATAATCCTTTTGTCTCAAGCCAGTTCTTTTCTCTCACCTGCACTCTGCTTTCCGGAAGATTAATTTTCATAGCAACTTCCTCTCTCATGAAGATGTCCGGATATTTTGTTTTGGCGAACAGCTCGTCCAAAATTTCAAGCTGAGCCTTGGTGTAAGTCGTACGTTCACGACGTTGTTTTCGTGGAGGTCCTATGACAAAAGAGAACTATCACTTAAAAAAAAACCATAAAAAACATTATCAAAAATAAGAATGTACCATCTAAAGAAATGATGGTTAGTGTTAGTCTGTCTTAAACATCCGATTTTAAAAGGAGGCAACAATAGGTGCAATTATCATGGAATTTCAGCTCTTTGTAGTTTTCAATGGGTGGATGAACCAGATTTAAACAAGTTCTAAAGGAAAAAGTTACAAATTATTCTTTTCCAGCTCCATATTGAAATCTTCCCAGGAGGTGCAACGACCGGTTAAGTCAGACACGGACACTCGTTCATCTGAGACTCTCATTCATTTTAGTGATTTTGCAATCCAGTTGTAATCATCATGAGTTTTATTTCATAATGCTTTTCCTTAAGAAGAATCGTCGAGAAGCAAGCTTAAGTATTTCAGGGTTACAGCAGTAGCTGCTTACAATCAACTGGCTGCTCTGAAACACATGAAATGGATGATACGATCTTCTTTGTAAGAGAATCTTCCTCAATTTTCAAGCAAACATTTCCACAGTTTGCCAAACATTTAAAATCTCAAGACTTACTAATTTGTTCACAAAACGTCAGAAAATAATTACCTTCAAAAAACCTTGACGTTAGACATTGGGGACAGCCAAGACAAGGCAAAAAACCTGGCCAAGTAAATTCCATATTGCAAGCTATCCGACTTCAACTCGAGTTTAGTCTCAAAGCATTAATTTATATCCGTCTTCTTATACCAAGCAAAACACGTATGAGTGATGGGCTTGGTTATGTGATTGGGTTGTACATACCGCTTTCTGTCAGCTTTAATCTCTATATCAATTAGAAAAATGGCAAACCAGCCCTTAAGGTGGCTGTCCAATAAGGGATTATCCAGGTTTTTCTGTCAGACTCACGCATTTGAAAGGATTATAATGCTGATGCATGAAAAAAATTGTCAAACTTACAGCTTTGCTCTTAAATGTTTCTCGACGGGTAGGGAACTCACTGAGTAAACTTTGAAGAGGTAAGGATGTACACGAAGTCAACAGAAGTGATGCAAATTAACACTAACTTGTAGGGAGTATGTGCAAAAAAACAGTATGTTTATTTTCTCCACTCTGGAAAAGTCCAAATGCAAATTCGGTTGCCAAATGCAAAGATTCCTGTTACTACTTCATTACAAGAGCAGCCATAGATTTCCTTTCTGACCTGATGTTTTAAGAATCTCACCCAAGCATAATACTGAGTTGTTTCGAAATTGGAACAGGTCCGCTTACGTTTATGTAATTATCCCAAGGATTTGAGGGAACCATCGGATTAGGGTCATGAACAGGAAGCGACTAAGAAATTATGTTTAAGAAAATCTATAAACACGCTAATAAGGTATGAAATGTTACGTGGTCACGTCTTAAAAGTGGTAAAACATGATCTTTAAGAAGGAAAGATAGTGTAGCTCAGCACTGATTTCTATAGATTTCCAATTTGGAAGATGTGGGAGTTTTGTGTGACGATAACATTGATTATGCCTGCTCGGACATTTCAGACATGTCATGTTTATATGTGTATATTTTATGCTTTTAGACCTCGGTGGAGGAGTTATATTTTTCGGTGGAAATCTTTAAAAATCTACTCGAAAGATCTAAGGACAAAGAACTCCTGTTTTAGTTGTTTTTCCATGCCGCTGTACAGTTTCATCAGAGACTAAACAATCCTTTACGGGAGTCAGTCGAGAACTGTTAGTCTTAAAGCCACTTAGCGCAATAGGAAAGATTATCAGGATTGAGACAAAATTTATGATATCAAGGCACGCAACCAAATCAGAGGACATTGTTTATCACTGCACTCTTACCATACATCACAGCTTCGGTCGGGTCGTAAAACTCCATGCTCTGTGGACGACTGTAGTTGTACCCATTCATTGTACAGGGTGGCAGGCGTCCAAAAATACCATTCATTTCTGATCGTGTCTGTTGTTCCGCAGCAACTATTGTGTAAGCAGGAGAAACTTAATGTTAGAATCACCTATTTGACCCTGTAGAAGGAACATTCTCATGTGACCTACAGTGATCCACATGACAGTTGGCAAATTGACATTTCTTCTGCCGGTCCATTTTGACACTTCATAAATGGCGTTATCTTTCGATAAGATGGGATAAATATGGTTATCAGTCTGTTGACGAGAGATAATCTCATCACGGGCACGCAAATTTTAAACGGTAAGCCTCCCTGGTAAGATTTCTGTTCCGTATCATGCACCTGATAATGCACGTGATCGAAGTCATTCTCATAGTATGTTCTTTGTCTCCCCACTGCGTGATTCACGGTTCTTTTATCGTGGAAATTTACCGGCTTCAATTTTTTTTTGTTTCGTCAAGTAAAATCCGCATGAACATTCCCCACCGCCGATGGTTTTTTTCTCCTTTTCGTTTGTTCTAAATACACTGGAATAAGTTCTTTCCATACTATTTAATTATTTAATATAGTTTTCTTCGTCGAAAATACGATTCGTGTAGGATGACGCAACTTCTTTAAATACTGCTAACACATACAGCAATACTCCTTAATCAATCATATTTATTTTCGTTGCAATTACACCAGTTTTACTTTAAATTTCTGTGAGAAACTGTGGGCTAGAAATTTGTAAGTGCACTTCGTAAAGAAAAATAGCGCATAATATCTCTCGAGGGGGCGCTCGTAGATCATGAAACATCTCAGCGGTATCTTTCTTACTTAATTACATGTCTACCTATTGATTTCAACTTAAATAAAGTTTACAAAGTATTTGAATATATATCTTCACAAACTTAGAAGATATAGCGTACATGTTTTCACTCCTGCTGAATTATACACCTAACTCTTAAGTGTCTCCAAAAATTCTGTGCCACAGGAGAAAAAATAATATAATGATTCCACATTTCCAAAGTTTTCATATTATCATAGTGGTTTAGAAAACTTCAGTTTCTTGAGTAAGTTCAGCAAAGAAATTTGCGCTGGCTACGTAAACGTTTGTTTCTTGTAGCTGAACAAAGAAAAACTGTTGTTACTGACTTCAATTTTTCATCTTTGAAAAGTATGATCCCGTTGGTGAGATGCCAAAAGATAACATTTTATCTGCATTTTGTGGCCTCCAGTATTCGGCTCTTGTCAACGCGATAAAGACGCCCATTTAAATGTCTCAAATTTATAACGATCATCATCAATAACCAACTTTCACAGGATATCTATGGTTTAAAAACTTGAAACTCTCGGTACAATCATTCAAAATATTCAGTTAATGATTCAAATTGGCAAATGTTATGTCTCTCTCCTTAAAATCTAATGTAGATGGCCACCAAAAGGGGATTGTAAACTTTCAAATTGTTGAGTAGCAGATGGGAAGAGCATTGGTTTTACACAAGTTTATTAATAGTTCTGCTTATTTCCGGACCAGATATATACTATATGGAAAGATATCAACGAATATTGACCACGTATAAGTTATATTCCGTTTTTATCACTAAATAAAGTCTTAGCTTTTTGAGAGAGTTCTGCCTGGAATTAGTTCACTTATCTTGTGAGTGTTACTCATCGAACATTAGGGCAAACAACACTAAGCAAAATGCAACAGTAAATTTACTCGATGTCCATGGCATTTGTCGTTGTCGAGGTCTGTTTAATGAAATGCTCGGGAAGAGATAAGCTGGATGAACAGCAGATTATCATGATGTCTGTGAAGCGAGGTTAACTTATTAAATAACACAACGAGAAGAAAACATGACAAAAAAGTGATTCGTGAATAAATTGGTGAAAACTGATAGAGAAGAAACTTGCTTTTGTCTGTGCATAAATGCTTAAACTTGCATTGGCGAAAAGGTTGTTCTTTAATTTTAGTTCGCAAATATGAAGCATTTCGCAACCATCTAATGGGTGTGACGAGTTTATGGGAAATGTTTCCCTGACCACGGTTGACAGAAAGCTTTCTAGAGTCAACACACATCTTAACAGAAATAGTATCAAGGAAATTCTGGAGCATTCAACAAAGATCAGGAGCCAGAATGTATGAAAAGACGTACCGGACGGCGAAGCACATGCACGTAATCCTAAGATTTGACGTAATCAAAAACGTCATGAAAGAACCAGCTGGCTAAGCACTCACGTCACGTACCAACTGGTCTTGTTGCAGTAACTATGGAGGATAGATATTTGTCGGGGATTTTTGGCAATATTTCAGTGAGAATGTTCTTATTTTAATTAGGTAACTGTGTTATAGTGCTCGAAACAGCCGAAGCTAACGACAAAGGAACTTAGGAATCGAATGTTGAACGAGCAGAAATGTCCCTTACTAGGCCATTTCCGATGAAGACAAGGCACGACAAAGAATCCTTACGATAAACTTCTAATTTCAACAAACGGCGTTTTGGTCAATTCTCACCAAACGGAGTCACAACTCTTGTGAATATGTTTTGACTTGGTCAAACTGTCAAAGATTGCATTGAACTCCAACAGTAGAAAACATGATTATCTCTATTTAATCCGTATGCGAGTGTTTTTGAGGGCCGTAAGGTAGAAAACTGTAATAGATTATTCCGCTGTCTATTTTAAATATAGTTATAGTTATTTTTTGTGAGGGAGATATTTAACCTTCGAGTTGTTATTTTACGAAAAACTTTGATATTCCTGAGTATGTTCATTGACGGAGATATTCTGCTGCTATGTAAGGGCCAAGGCCTCAGTTTGAGCCACCTTAACCGGCAGGTCTGAGCAATACAGCACTATATAATTTGGATATATCACTGACAAAATTGAAATGGTAAATTGGCCACCGTAACGATTACAAAAGCTGACGTTTCGAGCGTTAGCCCTTCGTCGGAGCGTATAGAGGAATTGTGGGTTGTGTGTGCTTTTAAGGCAGAAAATGGAGCTACGTTAATGGTGGGAACATGGCAACGAGAATAATCGTTACGGTGGCCAATTTACCATTTCAACTTTGTTGATACATCCAAATTATTTCGTTACCCCCACCGACGCAGCCCCAAACAGTTTCTTTAGAAACTATCAGCCTTTATTCAATACAGCACTACATCAGAAAAGCGCTGAAAGCACTAACTGGGCCATCAAACTGTTCAAACTAATAGACGTCTATGAAATGTATGTTCAAACTCATTTTTTTTAGTTCACCTACCTTAGTCCAAAACCAGACATAGATTTTTCCAGTTAGTTACAGACTCCTTCTTATTCCTCTCGATTTCCGATAGGAATGTGGTGTTGTTCGTTGTCAGTTGTGTCTTAACTGAGAGTTCGTGCAAACATTGCAATTATTTTTTTTTTATTAAGACTATAATTAGATCACTCAGTGACGTCAATTAATTTAGGAAATTGTGTCATAAGAACATCCACGAACGACCACATCTTCCGGATGTTGCTCCATTTTAAGGTGAAAAACTTTTCATGTTCCATAAAAAATCCTATTAGTCTTTCAAAAATTTAAGAAAGTAATGATGACATCCTTACTTAACCATTGCCAAGTGTGGCTTTTGAGAACCAAAAACACCAAACAGGATAACAAACCACCCATGGCAACATAAAGTGGGTAACATACCAACTAGCGGGAGACATTACTTACACTGAACAGTCAAGAGAACACATCCAGTGCGTAGCAGGGTGATAAGGTTAAACGCAGGACTACTGCATCGCAAATCAAACGACATGACCTCTTGGTCATGTCCCCCCCCACTAAACTTGAGACACTCACTACCCTACCCCCCCACTTCTGCTTTTGTTAACTTTAAGGCTTTTCCCTTTTTTCTTAGTTACGATGGTAATATATGCTTAACCAGAGGGTTGATAATTTTATAACCGAAAAAAAAAATGGTCTAAGATTGCAATTGTCGATGATGCATGTTGGTTAACAAGATAAAAATACAAAGAGAAAGCCTGCTACCTTCAGTACTTTAAACTAATTGTAAAGTAGTAGACGTCGAACTGTGTAAACTTTGACATCCTCTACGATGTAGGAAACCAAAATTGTGTCTCTTGGTATTCTTATTTTCTTATTTTGTTGTGAAAACTTTGTTGAGTCAAGGCTATGAGCGGTCATGAGAAATTATCTGCTGACCTATCTGTAAGCCCTTTTACTCTAGAATTAACGAAAGAAAAAATCAGAAAGAATCTTTACAATCACAACCAACGTAACCTCAAGCCACGTGGGTATTTTGATTGTATCTCTAAAGGAAAAACTGTACATATATTATGATAGAATTGTTAAAAGATAGAAAACATTTGATAGTCATATCTTGAAAAGCTGTTGATTTATACAGGTATAAACTAAACACATTTCATCGAATATGAATTATAAGTGATTAATTTATACAGTTTGCAGCAAGTCTTGACCTTGGTAACAATTTTTTTCCAAATACATTTTATAGCACCTTGTAACCCGCATCAACAATTTTATGTTGGCAGTATTGTTCAATCAAGGCATAAGTGATCTCTTACGAGCAACTCAAACCGTGCTAACTGGCAAAGAAGATAAGTTTTTTCTTTACCATAATAATTTGTGATTTTTTTCCATAAATATTTGCCTGATTGCACAGAAAGTTTATCGACGAATTTATCTTTGGAAATCATGTTTCTTTTTAATTTCAACTACCAGGTTTCAGTTCTATGAAGTTTAGAAAAAGACGAAAATTGAAAAACAAACAAAAACCTTAATTGAAAGCATATATTTTACGAATATATGAAAACATTCTATTATACTTTGTAGCTTGCCTGAAATTTACCGTTCCTGAAACAACTATTTTACGGTTGCTGTACTTCGTTTTGTAAT